TTGTTGGTCTACTGTAGGCCTTTGTACATATCATGGCCTACAGAGCTAATAAACCCATGTTGATTTACAAAGCCCATGTAGGCTTTGGAAACACAGCCAAACCATGAGCCTCTGATGAGCAACTGTCAATGGGAGTTGAGAATCACTGGCATTGATGCTATGAATAGATGAATGAGACATTGATACAAGGGATTCCAAGTGCCATCCCAAGTGTTATTCCAATGGATTCCAAGTGTTATTCCACTGTGGGGCAACAGAGTTTGGCTGTGGAAGATTACATCTTTAGCCAGATGTCAGGTGACTTAGGCTGACTTTTTTTCCTAAGAATTCCTTAGGATATCTATGAGCCTAAGACCCATGTTGATGGCACAGCACTCACTGATGCTTGGCTGTTCCTTCATTGTGGGTCATGGCTGACTGGGGGCATGCCCTCTGGACCCAATGTACACATCTTTAATCCCAGTTTCAGTACACAGCTTCCATCCCAATTCCCATGTACATTTTTAATTCCAATCTTTATATGTTTGTGTAAATTACTGCTACATCTACCTATATGATAGATTTTGTATCACAGTTGTTAGTGAGAAAGCTTTCTGAGGGTGGTTCATTGAATTACAATCTCTGTATGTGCCAAATCCAAAGCCTGTTGGGCAGTGCAGCCCCCAACCCCTGCCTTCAGATGAATAACTGGGTTGCACCAACAACATAGGTCATAGCAGGCTGGGGGCAGGTTCTCTAATCCCAGTTTTTTCAAATTCCACCTTGCAAAATTCAAATTGGTTACTTCAATATATAGCTTTGAGAGGTGCACATGAAGATCCAGGAGCTCTTTACACTCCTCCACCTATTCCTACTGGACTCCTGGATCCCTACCAGACTGGACTAGGACTGGGACAATTTTTATGTTGGCTGATCACCATACAAATTTTGTGTCCCAGTCCTAGTGGAGTCCTGGTAAAGTCCTACTGGAATGGTCCCAAACTACTAGGAATTGGTATAGTGGAGTCCAGTACTAGGAGTCCACTAGGAGTCTAATAGAAAATTCCAAGCACAAGAAGTCCAGTAGGACCAGTAGTTTGTCACTGTTGTTGTTATAACCACATAGCATGCCTGTGGGGGCAAAACCTGATACGGACTTTCCTTCTTTGCTTGTCGTGATCTTTCCTTCCTCAAGTCGGTGATTGAGTTCAATTTGGTTTTGCAGATTGACTGTTAAGCAGATTTACCTGACGACTTGGATGGCATAGTACCACCTTACATACTTGAAGGGCTTTCTCTTGTACCACATCACACTTGAAGCTTTGGTCTTACAATTCCCTCCTATCTGGTTTTGCTCGTCCTGATCTTTCCTTCCTCAAGTCGGTGGTCGAGCTGGATTTGGTTTTGCAGATTGATTGTTAAGATGATTTGTGTACTTTACCCTCCCCCACGGATTCCAGATGGAGTCCACATGGGCTCCATAATTCCATCTGGACTCCATTTGGAAAAGACCTCACCCTACAATTTTGTTGAAAATCCATCTGGACTCCACATGGACTCCACCTGGAATCCAAGTGGCCTCCAGATGGATTTGATCACAGTTTCAACATGGACTTTGCCTTGTTCAAATTATAGCAAGTCCCAACTTTAGCCAGATGTCAGGTTACTTAAGAATGCTGATAAATCAATATGACTTTTTATGATATTTCTATCTAATCATGCAAGGGTGGAAGAAGGTCTGTAATCTTGAGTATAAATGAAAGATAATAGGCAAACACAGGGTTGCCTCAATGTGAGGGCAACCCACAAGAAATGTATATTATGGCCTTGATGTCCTATTACCTATAAATGTTAATGAGGGAAGGGGAAGGGGGGGAGAGTATGTAAGTGTCTTTTGAAAAAGGAAGAAAGAAGTTGAGTGGAGTGGAGTGGAGTGGAGCAATGTTTGTGAGAGGCCAGGATAAAAATCTGAAATAGTACAATTCAGAGAGAAAATAGTCCAATGTTAAATGAAAAAAGTCGATAAATCAAACAGTCGTAGCTGGTTGGTGGGCAGGGTGCCCAAATAACATAGCTTGGAGAAGAACAGGATTCTTTCTGATGTAGATCTGAAAGGTATCCAATGCCCATCGTCCAATTGCTTGAATGATGTTGGGAGGTACACCAGCTTCAGCAAGGGAAGTGGCACCTCCAGCATGCATAGATTGACCTGCAATATCAGCAGGGAAGAAACAGCGGAGTTGTTTCATGAACCAGGAGCAGGTTGGCACACTGCCAGACTCACACAACCAAAGTTCAGGTTTTAATGGGTGAAGGGTGTCTCATGATTGAAAGTATGATGCAAAAAATGAGTATGGGTTGGTTGGGAGGTTTGTCTTTTCAATAATAATCAGGTTTCCTTCATAGAAGCAGTTGGCCTTGTGGCCAGGCAGCCAAAATGAGTAGGATTTTTCAGTGATATTGACGGTGTGCCGCAGAATGACTTTCTGATAATTGCGCTGTGCAACTTTGTCTGGGAAGGTAATCTCTCCAAGACACATGAGGCCATGGAAACCTGTCTCTAGCATTGAGAGGAATAGTTTGTCATCATGACAAGTTGAAGATCCTATGGCAGAGATGACAGTTTGCAGATCAGTGGTTGACAGTGGGCGTTTTCGTTTTACAGGAGTTCCAAAGTGGCGTTGACATCCTGTCATAGTACGCAACACAAGCATAGAGTTGCAGGTCTTCCTCACATCTGGGAAGAAAGGCTCAAGCTTAGTGTTGACGCCGCTCGGCTAGCCGCAAGCCAGCTCGCTGAAACAGTGGCTTTTGCCGGTTCTGGTTTGTGATTGCTCGGGAGCCGATCAAATCCAGTTAGGCTCAGCTTAGCCAATGGTTTTGAGCCAGTTATAGCCGGTAAATGTTGCCACAATTGATGACTCGCGCATTAAGTACAGTGAGCGTAAATGTGTAATAAAATTCAACATAAATGTACAGTGTGATGGTATGTAAGGTTGCATACATTACTGTGAACAAAAATAGCCCTCTCAATCATTGTCATCCTGTCCAACAACGTGAATTACCTCATCAATATCTATACCATCCTCCCTAATCTCCGAAGTTAGCTTCCCTAACAAATCTGCTAAATCTTCATTGTCATCTGCATGGTACTCGAGTTCATCTTCTGTAACAGCCCAACCCTCTGTAAAGTTAAGCCATTGCTGCTTGAGCGAAAATTTCAACATTTGAAGTGCCTCCATTAGAACAGGGTGAATTCAATTTTGCCTCTTTGTATCAGTTTCGGCACTGGATGATAAAACGCGCTCAGAAGGAACCGAGGATGCTTGAATGGGTAAGTAATCTAATGCCATCGCGTACAATATTTGATGGGTTTCCTCGCTTATCTGCAAACAAATCAGTGACACAGATTGGAAAATAGTGAGACATTGTACTTACTGCCCAAAACCCTATAATATCCGTGCCACGCAGTGAGACCGTCCCATTTCCATACAACTCAAACTGTTCTTCAACTCCTTGGCCCGACGGCGAAGGAGCGCCCGAAACCTCCAACATATCTTCGAGCCCATATCGTCCAGCTAAATCATGCCAGCTGTTGCTGTGAGTCCGTACTAGATGTAGGTTGTTGAGCTTGTCCATGAAGACAGTCATGGTATTTTCGCATCTGCAACAAGTATATTAAGGGTACTGTCACCATAACAAACTGAGCGACTTACAGTATTCTTGATAATTATGATGGCCCTGGCAACATAATTAGGCTCCCAGTGTCGTCGAATCCATGACAATCGTATCGAGGGATTGAGAACTGGCCATGTGAAGTTATTAAATAATGTATGAATCTGAACCTTAACTCACACATCGCGATAACGTAGGCAGGCGAATCATCCATTTTCTTGTAGTAAGTTGTCACCCACTGGATACCGATATCCGTCCATCAGGCCAAGCGGGGGTGATCTCTCCCAAGTTGCTCCCATGCCGTCATGAACATTTCGAAGGTGGTAATTGCGCCTGATAACACGGGAGTGCACTCTTTCGACATGAGTGTCTGTACTTGATGAGGTACCTAAGAGAAAGACTTAGCCTCGAACAGGTATCAATATTAGAGACGTACACCCAGTACGATCTCAAAATCCTGGAGTACAGCCCATTCCATATCAGTAAGTCTAAGTTTCACAAGATCTCTATTGATGGGGAAAGAAAGAAAATGCTCGACAGCCTATTTTTATAAGTATACACTTATAAAACGATAGAGTTCAAACATACCGGGCATAGTTTACGAAACCGATTGATCATGAAATAAAGAGAGTCCCACCGAACCTTCATGTCACATACAAGTTGCACCTGCTTAACTTGGATAGTCACGGTCGGATCCTCAGTTGACTTGAACCACCCTTTCTTGTTTCCATCGTCTACTACTTCCACCAGGTGCTCACGTCGTTGACCTGAGGCACGTACTGCTTGTACGGTACTCCAGCACAATGTGATTGAGTCACGAACAACCGCTTCTTCATAAGTCTGATTATCAGGATTGCTTGGAGGGCCTGATGTGGATGTGATGAATCCCCCTGTATCATCTACCAGGGCGATGTTAGTAAAGGCTTTGATGACATGAGTTGAACATATGTTGGTAACGTGTGGGAAACATTGTATATGATTTTCCTTGTGATTGAACTCAACGTCGCGAGGGCGTAGAAGTATCTCAAGTTCTTTCAGGAAGGCATTGTTGAGCGAGCAGTTATCGAGGGTCCAATGGCCTCCCTGTCCACGTAAGCATAAAGTAGAAAAGGGTAAGAAAATGAAACATAGACGTGCCTTGACCATGATCCCAACTTGATCCAAGAGATGGAGGACAATCCTTGCTAGCCTGTTCCCATTGTGGGCTAAACAGCCCGCAAACCATCGTCAGGCTTCTTTCCTCTTTCTGTGCACCATACTTGTAGATTGTAGACTCTAACGGATAGAAACATTTGTGCATAGCTAGTAAATATGAAATCATGGCATCAAAACACAATGAGAGACCAATGAAACATAGAAAACTTGAGGCAAGTTCTTTTCATTTTTGTGAGATTTCGTATCAAGCTAATCACGCTATAGTTGCCAGAAGTCCTTGGATTCCTAGATCTCGAAGCTGAAGTATCAGAGGCTGAGACCAACAATCAGAATGATGGTGATGAAGGTGTGTATTATAGATTGTAATTGTAGTTGGTACAGTGCTAATTCTTTCAAAGACGATCTTATTGACGACGATGAAGACATTGACAAGTCGATTTCGGGAGATGCGCACCGAAACCTTCTCCGTGAAGCGTTGATGCTGTCTGATGATGACGCCTTTTGGGAAAGCTTTCTTGAGTGCGTCACGTCTCATCAAGATATTGGGGAAGATGTCCAAGATATCGGAAAGGTGTCTTTATGGGCGGTGGTCATCAAGGTAAAAGTAACCCCATCTTTGGGTTACTTTTGTAATAACTTTTATACTTAGCCTGGTTATGAGGAGCAGATAGTCTTTCGAATCCATCGGCGCCTCATGGACAAGAGGTTTTCTGCACACTTATGACCCCCAGCGGTCTTTGGTTGGAAAGCACTACCCAGCAGAGTCTTTTTCGAAGGTGGTTCTAAAGAAATGATTCGCAAAGTCTGTAACGGCATATCAAATGTGCTGGCCTCAATGACTTTCAACATCCCGGATCCTAACCCCTCCATCTTCACTCTTCCCGACACCTTTCGACCAAAGCGTCATTCCTGGGTGAGGCTGCACTGCGGCATCTACAAAGGAGATATTGCCTTCATTCGGGAGGTCACATCCTTACTCATCAATGTCCTCGTGGTACCATGCATGACCTATGACCCACCTTCCACCAAAGTCAAAGGAAGCTGGCAGATTGTACATGAGGACCAAAACGATGAGACGGACGACGAGTTCGCAGCGTTCTACAAACCTGAACGCGAGCTAAACCGAAGAGCTTCAGCACCAGGGCGACCTCCCCAAGCCCTGTTCAATCCAACACTGGCCAAGCAACAGTTTCGTCGGGCATTCCAAACACGAAACAACTTATCATTATTCCGAGGAGTTCTTTACGATGGCGATGGATATGCGTACTTCCCGGACCTCGACACTGATTGGTATACCGCTGAAGATGTGGTACCATCACCGAAAGAATTCGATCTGTTTAGCACCTGTTTGGACATCCCTCTCAATGTCCGACAGCACACAATGGCGAGAATGTCGGCCAGGATTCTTCAGATAGGCGATGGAGTGAAATTTACTGACGGAGATTCGAGGGCGGGTTTTGGAACAATTGTTGACATTAAAGACAATGAGGCTGTTGTGTTTTTGACAATGTATGATGTGACAATTACTGTACCCTTTTCGTCGCTTCAAAAACATCTTAAAGTAGGGGACAAAGTGCGCATTCTTTCGGGAGACCACCAAGGTGTTACAGGCTGGGTAGTAAATCAAGACGATGACTATGTGTGTGTCTTCAATGACAGGACCGGAACAGAGGTAAATGTTTCGTTTTTACAATACATACTCTGACAATCCGTCATCTTTTAGGTAGAGGTATCCCCCGGGAATGTCAAGTTCTTCAGCTCCCCCTTTGTCTTCGCAACGGAATCCCCGGAGTCCTTGACAGCTGCACAAAAGCGAGTCATGAAGGGGGACTCAAACAGTCATCTTGTAGGAAAACGCATAATGGTAACCCAAGGCAATTTTAGAACTTAAGGCAGAATAAAAAGCACAGTTGGTGAGAAAAGGCTTTTGGTCGAACTCGAGGCACTCCTCCAACGCCCACAAATTTTGGACATCTCTGCACTACACATCATGCAAGCCCTTTTGCTTTTTTTTCTTTCTGAAATCGATGCTAATTAGCTTCCAGTGCTGACGAAAGGCTTCAGCCCCCAAGGCCTTGAGAGCTTCTGACCAATTTCTCTTACCCACTTGAACCAGCGCCTCTGCCCGGTACTTTGGCAAGCTTTTTGTTCCCTGGTCTGCCCTTGCTGGATCCGCAACCCTCAGCCGCATATCCTGCTGCCCTCGTGCAGACTCCGACCATTGCGGGGCCATCTACTCTGCTTCCTAACTCACAAGATATCCCGACAAGCCCAGCTTGGAACCCAAGCTCAGATACCCCTCTCCGTGGCAATTATGGCAATTATATTTTTGATTCAGAGTCAATATATATACTGACGCAATTATGGCAGCCCCTCCGTATTGGCTTAGAGATAACCGCTTTGCCACCATGAGACTGAGCCTTCGTCTCATCAACTCCCACTCTAATTTCCATGATGGCAAGTACGAAAATATGTGCGGGGAGTTCAAGGGAGTGGTCAGAGATGTGGTTAAGGTCCAACTCGGTTTCACAGTGGTGGAAGTGCCCTTTCCGTACTTGATACCTGAAAGGCCAGAGTGCAAAGCCCAAGTCGTTACTGCATTTGACGGCCCGCATAAGCCTTATGCGGGCCCCCAGAATTTTGGCTAAGGCTTAGGTCTTAGTTACAGGCCTTAATTAAGACTTGATTCTAAGGGGTTATTAAAGCTCTGCCTAAAAATAGATTATTTTGTTGGTCCTTCAAAATCATCACCTAAGGCCTCTAATTTTCTTATCATCTGGTACATATTCTCTGGTACATATTCTCTCCTCATCTGCCTCCTCATCTGCCAAAAAGTCATCAATTGGGCTTCCTCCATGTATGACTGCCACCTCTGATTTTGTGTCATCTGTACTGTCCATCAATAATTATCAGTTTATTTTCAGCTATGACAGTGCACAAGAATGTGGACCTGGTTCTGCTGGGTGCCAGTGATAAAGTGGTTTTGCCTCACCTGCAGCCTGCTCATCAATATCAGATTTTTTTTGGCCATGAAAAGAAAAGTATGCATGGATAGGGGACCCAACTTGCTTGGTGCCAGGGATAAAGTGTTTCCAAGAGTAAATTTGCAATTTGTCCATCTGATTTATTCCACATAGTACTTGTGGTCACAAAAAATAACAGGGCACATGAGTTGGCGCGTCGTGAAGTTGATGGTGTGTGCAGCCCATTTTAGCAGCTAAAGGAGGTCATACCCAATTCTAATTTTGTAGATAATATCTCTCATATTCCCTCAATGTGAATGTATAGTTTTTTCCTGGATATCCTACCGGCTTAATGCATAAATGTAGAATTGTTGTCTAAGTCGAGCGAGGTGTGTGAGTGCACCCAAGCACATGCCCTGTTACTTTTTGTGACCACAAGTAGTCATATTCTCTTGGCACACCTTTCTAAGGCTTAACTAAGACCTATTGAAAACTCTGACTGATGCTAACCCTTAGCCTTAGAATGAATTTAAGCCTTAAACCTTATTAACCCCTAAGCCTTAAGTTCAACACTGGCATAAGGGGTCACAGTTTAAGATCAAGGTTTTTGGTGAAGATATATGCGGCTGCTCTCATTTGAAATCAACAAAGCTTTTGAGAAAGGTTGATGTCCAAATCACCACCAATGAACTTGTAGTTACCCAGGGATAAGATACCTTAGATATGTTTAGAGACTCTTTATGTATGTTTTACGCCTATATTGATGGCAATGTATATTCTTGACCTTATTTCGAGACAATCACTATTTATAACTGGCTTAGTCAGCTCAAGCCAGCTTCTTAGCTGGAGCCGAAATTAGCCGAGCCATGGGAGTCATCACTCAACAGTTCTGGCTGGGCTTCGGCTAAACTCGGCTCGGCTCCTGGCTTCAGCTGGCTCTGAGCCAGAGCTGCGGCAACACTACTCAAGCTGATTACAGATTCCGGATAGATAAGAGTTGACTGAATTGGGTTTGATATGTGATGACATGTAGACAGCATAAAAGCTGAGAGTTTGTTCAGTAGGCGTGATATCGAACTTGTGGATTTTGCAGAATGTGAGATATGAGTTTAGGGCTGATGTGTATGTGATGTGAGAAGAGTTGTCAATGGACATCCCCAAGGCAATTGACTGTTCATGAACTAGACGATCAAGGGTCCATGGTTCACGCTGGGGTTGGCGAGAACCACATGAAATAGAAATCATTTATTAACTACCCCCAGCATAGCTGATCGAGGGGGCTGCAGATATGGGTTACAATGCGAAACATTGGAAGAGGTGGTTGAGACATAATGTTCAGAATGAAATCACTGTGAGGACAGGCAATCAGGTTCTTTGTGGCCACCCTTGGAGCACTTGTTACAACATGGAGTCGATGACACTGGCTGCCATCAAGCAAGCACAGCCCCTCGTTCCATCGATTGCATGCCTCCTGTTTCTTGCATGAAGTTGGAGATACCTTCGAGATAGGTAAGCATTGGACGACAGCTGCACCAATTGAATCCATGTGTGCCGTTCTAAGGTTGGCAAATTTGTCGAAATGAGTGAGCTCAAGATCGCGTCGGCTGCCAACATAATGGCGGATGGCTTTGTCGAAAAGAATGACTTGGTCATGGAAGAGGATATCAGTTGTGGCAAAAAGTGCAATGATGTACTCAGCGTAGTCAGCCAGTTCACCTGCCCAATGAGGGAAAGCCATTGACGTCGCCCTAGATGCTCTATTCCAAGCGATTGTCCACTCCCCAGCACTCAAAACAATCTTGGTTGGGGCAACGGTTCCGAATTTGATATCAAGATCACCGATTGACTCGATGCGCTTGTCGTTATTGGAGGTTGAGTAATAACCTGTAAGTACTGCATCGAGGTTGACTGTGTGACCTGCAAGAATGTTCGTCCATTCTGAGTCAGGGAATTCAGGACATGTGGGTGAGTTGATGAGAGAACACTTTGTGCCCTTAGGGTCAACTGCATACAGTTTGAGGAGGTCCAGCATAGCTGTGAGGGAAGGGGATAAAATGACTGAATGGATGAAATCTGATATAATCCATGGGTATTGAGACTCATCGGGTTTTGCATGTTTAGTTGGGCAAGATAGTTCTTCTTCATCAATCTGTTGTTCAATGGGTGATTTTGAATGTTCCCTGTTGCCATGGCGTTCGGCTTCGGACAAGTGGTGTTCATGGTTTTCAAGGATGACAATATAGTGTGCAAAGGTATCTTCGACTCCTGTCTGGTCTTCAGGTAATGTGCCAACGAGTGTGGTGTAGATTCGGCTAAGTGCTGTGGCTTTCGAGATTTGTGAGCCACAAAAATCTTTGATTGCCTTCTTGCAAGCAGCGATAGAAACTGGGACATTCCCAAGCATTCGATTTTGCATTTGCTCAGATTCCGGAGACAAGGATCGGCAATTGCCAGAACCTCATTTGATCCTGTTGTCCACTTGCACCGTTGTTACCACCTTGAGTAGTGTCATTGTTACTACCAGAAATAGGAGTTCCAAGAGGAGTAGGAGTTGCATCAACAACATTGCCAGTAGACATGAGATGAAATAATGAGGATTTGATCTGATGCAACTAAGAGTTGTAATGTGAATGGAAGATACCGCTACCTCAGAAGGATGAGGTAGGAGGAAGAGAGAGGAATGTTCAACTCTACTCAACCTGACTCGCTGGTCTCAGAGACCAGGAATATCTCAGTGAACCAGATGGTGGTGGGGCAAGAAAAGAAAGACGACTGGTGTTTGACCAGCATGGCAATGAACAACCAGCACGTGTAGTGTGCAGAACATGCCAAGTGCCACAGCAATATATAGTACTGGTTTGCATTGTATATTAAAGGCTGTGTGGTTTAATGGTTAATTGTGTGAGTATCTTGGTCATTGTGTTCATGAGCTTGAGTGTTCAATTCTTGCTAATGCACTTTCATTTTTTATATATAATAACTAAATTGAAGGCTAATGAATCCATATGGATTCCAGATGGAGTCTCTCTGGGTGAATGTATATTTCCCTGTGTTCTGATGTGGACTCCAGCTGGACTCCAGATGGATTCTAGACAAAAATTTGGCTGGGCTACCACCAAAAAAAAATTGTCTAAACTCCACATGGACTCCACCTGGATCCCCAGACTCCACTTGGACTCCACATGGAATCTGTGGGGTAGGGTAAAGTCCTCCCATATTCTGGCATCACTACATCCAAGCCACAGATCCATTGATATAGAGATATCAGAATCCATGAATCCATGGATCTGCAGATTTTTAGACTTTCTACATCCATAGATTCACAGATCCTTAGACCCTGGTATCTCTACATCTAAGCATCCATTAATTATGATATCTCTACATTCAACTAGGAATCTTATGAAACTTCAATTTGACTTTCAAAAACCAAAGATCTTTATATCTCTATCTCCACAGATCTATGGATCCTCAGATCTTCATATCCAAATCTATGTATCTTCTGATCTTTATACTGGTGCAATCATAGATCTACACATCTCTAATATCTGCAGATCCTCAGATCCCAGTATCTCTACATCCTTGGATCCATGGATCCACTGTTCTTCAGATGTCTACCACAGATTCTCAGATCCAAGTATCTCTACATCCATGGGTTTACAGATCCAAATCCACAAGTATACATAGATGTCACTATAGTACCATAATAATAGAAATTGACAATTGTCCCAATAAGTCATAAGGCTACCCCAATGGGCCCAATACACATGGACACTATGGGTCCATACCTGGGGCCCATTGTCATATCCAGCATATGGGATGAATGTGTGGCCCAATGGGTATCCATCACACGTACATATTGCCATAATCCATGGTGCCATAGGTAGCCAAAGTATAATCTACAGTATAGCTCAATGTTGGGCCTCATGCGCTCGAACTTAGACCGCGTCAAAACAGCTGCGCAAGCTGACAATGGTTTGACAGCCATAAGGCCTCCGGGGTGTTAAAAATACCGACAAAGGTATCTGCTTCATAGCGTTCATAGCTCCGTGAATACTGAAAAACATATGCGGGCCAAAGTATCCGCAAAACTGTAAGAGCTCCGCTGTCATTCCGCGGCCATCAATTCACAAAACAGCTGCGCAAGCTGACAATGGTTTGACAGCCATAAGGCCTCCGGGGTGTTAAAAATACTGACAAAGGTATCCGCTTCATAGCGTTCATAGCTCCGCGAATACTGAAAAACATACGCGGGCCAAAGTATCCGCAAAACTGTAAGAGCTCCGCTGTCATTCCGCGGCCGTCAATTCAAAAGCCGCGGAATCAAGGACCACTGATGGCGGTTGCGGCCGTCATGTCGCCCCGATGAAGCACTTCAACCTCCAGACTCAGACCCCCTCGTAATTCCAATTCACAATAATTTGTAATATATGTATGTAAAACTACGGAGTGTAATCAAAACCATCTGCAGGTTGAAGTGCGGGTCCCTCGATTTTTGCTGGCAAAATGTATGGTCGCTGTGTTTGGTTTTGCATTAATTAGGCACGAATAAAATGATTTCATGCGGAAATGTTACATAGATATTTGAAAGATGCAGCTTCTAGTTAGGTAGGGTTTGGGGGCAGAAAGACCGGTTGAGACCAGTTAGACCGGTCTTTAGTCGGTCTTCAAATTTCTGAAATTATGAAAGACCAAAGACTGGACCGCGGTTGCGGTCTTTGGCGGTCCTGAAATTTACCGGTCCTTGGCAGTCTGGGTTCGGTTCAGTCTCGGTCTTTTTCCAGTCCGAAGACTGGACTTCCAAGCACTAGGTCTTTCTCAAGTCAGGCTAACGGATTTATGTAGACCCCAAATCTCAGTTGCAATGCACCAGGAGCATAACCTTCCCTGGAACACCATCGCTTCCCATCTAGAATTCGTTTATGACAACCCACATCGTACCCCACGCAAAACAGGCCTCTTTGCTAAAAGGGTGACCAGCGCTACACAAGAAAAAGACATGAATTATTTTTCGAGAAACTTGACCTCTACAATTTCAAGATTCTCGCACACAGAGAGAGGAAAGTATCCCATGCGGGCATATACCACACTGCCCATGTCAGGCAACCTATTTCCAGACGAAATGTGCGAGAGATATCCCGACTATCTCAACAAGGAAAACCAAAAAATTGAAAACTGGATAGGGCTTGTGATCCGGGATGATCAGTCCATCCCGCTGACGCTCCACTACAATACAAGGCATGCAAATCTGGCCGAAGCCGTTAAAATTTTGATATCCGACAACCATCTTGCACCTCTCCTAATGCTCGCCCAACATCCCCTCATTCCCCTTCATTCGCTCTGCTATCTCAGTTGGGGACATCACTTCGGCTTTTTACGCGTCATGGAAGCTGCTTTGCGCGCATATCTATTTCTCAACGTTCACGCTGCGGTGGGATCGTTGAACAATGGGAATTATATGCACTCTCACAAGAATACCCGTCGATGTTGTATGAATTGACAAGAGATTTTGATTATCCGGCTCAACAGCTCCCGCATCGCGAATTTTTTGGTCAAGGCGGTGAGGTGGGGGTTCACTTACCCCCTGTTCATGAAGACCACGCCGCCCTTCGCGAATACATCAAGATACTGTTCGAGATTTTACCGTTACGATGTTGTTGTGCGGGGGTGTGGACTTGATCCAGAGTGGGAAAGTTATATTGCGTTCAATCTTCGGAGATTGGCACCTGGAATTCGCATGAAAACGGAATAATTTGCTGTAGGTGACCTCTAGACAAAATACGATTTTATGTCTCTGTTTCTTGTATAATGCGCAGTGTTTCTCTAGGCGTGACCTTCTCGGCTCAAGGCGGATTTGCCTTTTGGCAGAACCCACTTTGAAACCGTTTAACATTTTTACCATATGGGAAGGCTATGTCTTCAACATGGCCAGGACAAACACGACTGTGGAACTTCAGAAGGAGTCCTGCTACCACTCTTCACTTGGTGGATGCGGAGGGAAAATCCATTGCACATGGGGATCCGGACGCCGCCGCACCTGAGTTCGCCAATGTGAGGTCAGAAATTACCACCTTACTGACGCAGTGCTGCCGTTCGGTCCGCAATCTTCGCTGGCAGTTGCAATGCTCCCATTTCAATTGAGAATAAGTCTAGGTCTGTAAAGGCGAAGTTAGTAAGAAGCATTAAACAGAGCGGCAGCGGGATGCCGGCAACAACAACGGCCCTCTGAGAGGGAGGTACGGGAGCTGTCGGAAAGGCTGCGACCAATGGGAGCGCGGACAGCCCGAGTTAAAAGGGAGTGGAGATCAAGTCTCTCGAAGATGTCTGGTGACAGTTGGTATAGTGTTTTCGTCCTTGGCTTAGCTTAACACCAAGTTCAAAGCTGAAGCCCAAAACAAGCAGACGACTTTGGATATGGAAGGCAATCGAATTGAAAGAGTCCAGCTACATGCATAGTACGGGCCTTGTCGACTCACGAGCGTTATTGATGAGGTCGTGAGTTATTGCGAATTGTATATGGTGTGCACAACAGGGTCTAGGTCAAGGGCGTGGAGGCATGGTCAAAAAAGGAAAACTACCACTCAGCTACCGACCCTCCAACAACCGTAAATGATCCAGCCCACATGCGCCTATAGACCAATCCTTCACGAGACGATACTTTCGTGCACCAGAGCACCCTTCAATAGCACATACTCCTGGACCGCGACCGGAGGGCTGTAAGAGATCGGGCATGGGGCTTTCCACTGGCGGCAAAAGGGTGGTGGGTACAGAGAAAGAAATGACCGTTTTCTTGTCTTCTCCATCACCCTGGGTGGAAGTCACCCGACGATACATCGTCACGGGTTTCGATTGCTCTTTCTCCTCCCCCTCCCGTTCCGCTTCCTCCTTCTCCTCCGTGTCATCCATATCCACGTCCTCGTCGACATCTCGCTCCTTTGACAGCTTTGACTTGGCTTTGACCTTGGGAGTGGCGGAAGGCGTGTCTTCCAGCGGCAACGCATTGGCGGGTCTCCGACCTCTGGGTCTACTTTGTTTCTTCAGCAACCGGTTGATGGTCTCCAGTTTCTCATCTTCTAGTTTTTTCTCGGATAGGTTCTTGCGTTTTCGGGCTGTCTCTTCGCGGCGGAGGGCGAGCTCGGATTCGTTGAGTTGCTTCTTATTGCCCGTGCGGCCAGCTGTAGGAGTTGAGTGCATTAGTTAGTGATATGATAGCTGTGAACGTACTGAGTGACACATGAGTAGAATCGACGACACTCGCCAGCACCGCCTGACGCGCTGTCATTGGTCTCGAAGATCATTCCGACTCGGATTGAGATGGATCTTCGGACTCTACGTCAATTTCTGCTATGACCAGGGTTAAAACGTTCAAATCGAGAAAAAGAGAGATATACCAGCCCTGCGCCGTTTCGACGGTGATAGTTCAACGTCAGGCATCGTACCAGGACTGTTGCTCGAGCTAGCTACGGTTGGAAGCTTGAGCTTGATGCGAAGTTTGGGGTGCACGGGTGGGGGTGGCTCATCGTCCTCATCGCCCTTGGTGGAGATCAGAATCTGCTACAGGTTGAAAGAGACGGCGAACCTGATCATCCTCTTCCTCAACTTGCTCATCTTCGTCCTCGTCCTCTAATTCCTCCTCTTCGCCATCTACATCAATCTGCTCCTCCTCTTCCTCTACCTCCGAATCTATCTGCATATCTGCAGTAGCGGCAGCAGCACGACGACTACGCACAGGCATTGATGACAGTCCAGATTAAAGTGGTTCCCATGACCCGTCAGTACGTACATGAGAATCTGATGAATTCCCACTCACTCACCGCTGCCTGACCCGCCTTCCACGGAGCGCGTCAATCCTGGCGCCATCGGGTATTTGATTTGAAATAGCCGTGAGAGAAATTGGGGTGGTCGCTGACGACGTGGAAATATTGCCGCTCGACGTCTCGAACGACGAGTTCAACATCATTACGTAATTGTGCGCGATCACTTTGGTAATTTGTGGCGGTGTTGGTAGTCAAGTTCCTTGCGCTCCGAAGTCGTACCTTGGTTCAAACAGTGTTGCAGAGTGTTGGAGTTCTTCCGAAATTTAGAAAACATCACTGGGTGGTGACGCGAAGTGATGCGAACCTGACGCAAACCATGTAAATCTCAAATACCCAAGTGGTAAGGGCCTATTCATCCAATACGACAGGCGTGACAACCACTGCTCCAAAACTGTAAGTGAATTTATATGGTTATACAGGATTTATGTAATGTGTTATTTCAGTTAAATTAGATGCCCACGAATTCAGTTTTCTCCTGGCTCCCTCCGAATCATGCAGCCCTGAAGGAATCTACTGAATCATCCGACCCTGCAATACCGGCAGAAGCAAACTGTATGTCGGCAATACCATCATGTGGAAGGAAAATGGCTTCCTCGTTTCTCATTGACACATAGTCTCTGATGTGCAGGAGTACCCTGCTGGCTAATACGGAATGAAGACATCTCTCCGCTCTGTACTGCGATGATGAGCAGTTGACATATTCCAAATAAATAAAACACATACGGTGAAAGAATGTAAAAATAGTCTGCCTGTTGGTCAGTCACCAGTTAGGTGTTGAACGTTGATCTCTTGGTGAAAGACAATAAAATAACTGACTGGAAAAGCATTTATGACAATGACATTAGTAGTAGACAGCATCAGGAAAAACCCCAAATGCGAATTTTGGGTAATTATCTCCCAATTACTTATAATCTCCAAAACCGGGAGATAATACACCTAACTACCAACTAATTTGAGGTAGTCGCGATAAAAGTTGCCAGATACTCAGAACTTGTTGTGTATTACGAAGGGTCCTCTCTCAGTCCCTCAGAATTTCAGATAAAACAACTAACTATAGAGGTCATGCCATTTAATTTCGGAAAATTTTACTGGGGTTACACAGAGGGGACTAATATTAGAAAAAATTATTATAGCGGAAGTGGAACCGGTCTGAGAAAGGATTACAAGTAGTGTAAAGTGTTGACGATTTTGGTTATACAGCAAACAAAAAAAAACCTCATGTGACATCAGAAGTTGGCCGTACATCCCATGTGAAGAAAGATCTGAGAGTTGACGGTTCCGTACCCATATGTACCGCCATACCCATGCTGACTGCTTCCCCCGCGATAACCCTTGTACGTGCCGAAAAGACAGGGGCGGGTTGGTGAGCAACTTCAGCTGCTCCTTCGGCAAATTTGTGGTCAAACTTTTGGGCGCGGCAGCGTCGGATGGCATCGGTGAAGAGGACCACAATGTTGCCCAGTGCGATGACGCCAACGGCAGAGAACGTGTCTGCTATGACGGCTGTGTTGTGAGAACATGGCAATTCATGAAAACGGAAGAAAAAAGGCGAAAAGAATGGAGGGAAGGGGAGGGAAGGGGATGATATGCCGCTCACCCAGTGTAAGTCCACGCAGCACTCAAGCTCGTCAGAGTACCATAGCAGCCAATGCCGTGGTAAGCGTAAGCACACCCCCCAAACCAGTCTGTTGTGACCTTTGCATTCGCCGGGGGCGCAGTAGTAGGCGGATTCACTACTGATGTAGCGCGGACGTGGTACTGTCTCAGTTGCGTTATGACTTCCGCTCGAATCCTACATGGGGGTCTGCACGCGAGGAAGGAGGGCATGTAGAGGTAATGGAAGAAGCTGTTGTCGATGTTCAAGCATTTGGGCGGCGGGCAGTGGTTGCGCAGAGCGCAGGCATGGCATGTGTGTTGAGACTCGAGAGTTGAGAGCAACGAAAGATTCTTCCCAAGTCCGTTAAAACTCCGACAACACGTGATCATGTTGACTTCTACCACTCTTTCTTCCCATCGTTCTTCCTTCCCTCTACATCGTCTGCGTGCTTTTGTCACCCCTCATTCTCGTTCGTCATACTCCCACTAATTTCTTTTTCATTAGCGGCTTATCTCTCAACTCGCGCCCGCGACCTGGCCTTCAAAGTCAAACGGTGAACAACTGCCTTTCAACACAACTAACCTCTTAACCACTCACTTCCACTCAGCTATGTTCCACTGGTTCAATGCCCACGCAACCTGCATGCCAACTCCAACGTATAAGTATCTGACCTTTTCTTTTTCTTTCCCAGTCAAGCTCGGGCTCGAAGTTGGATCAATCATCATTTCGCATCCCCTGCCCGTCCGCGCGGTCCGAGTTTTTTCTTTCAGACTGAACACTCGCTGGAGGGAGCTGAGGAGGCAGTGACACAAGCTGGTGGTGAGTGGTTGACTTGTCCCTCGTGAATTTCAATGAATTCTTTCATATCCGTTGTCGTGGCCAGTTCTCCACCCTCGTCTCCTTGTTCGATACTGGCCTAGCAACGGGGTACGATACACACAAAGTAAGTACTGAATTTGCCTATCTCATGACCATTCACATTTGAAACTCATGCTTCCCTCTTGCTTCCCTCAGTATCAGCTCAACGAGTATCACTCCCACCGGCAAATACTCAGGGATTCAATAGCGTTATGATGGCTCGTTGGTATGGGTGATGATGGCTTGTGGTTGATGATGGCTCGTGGGTGATGACAGGTCACTGGTGTTGACAGCTCCCCTCCCTCATCTGATGGCTTCTATACTTCTACTCCATCCATCATTGTCACGTAGATATTCAATGTATTCTATATATTTTTCTCAATCAATTTTACTGTTGGGCCCTCAAATAACTGGTGTGCCCATGCTGTAACAATATTCAGTACCTGAAAAATGGTAAAAATGCCACCATAATTGAACTAACTACCATCTAATTCTGATGTAACTTCATGTCAGATGCAGATAATTTCTACTCACCCACCAGTAACTTCAAAATAATTTGAGGTAAGAGTTAGGAACCATATCAAGATGGGATAATTTGAAGTAATGTGCTCAGAGCAGTAATATGACTTAATTCATGGAAATTTGAGGTGATTTCACCAAATACTTTGGTTATTAGGGCAAATGTGGAGTTGGGGTTTTCCCTGATGCCTGTGCAGTGTGCACCAACATCATGCCCTCTGAATACCGTTAGCGCAGGAATGATGGATGGAAATACCAATGTTGTGAAGTTGCTGGCATGGACGTTACTATTCCCCATCTGTGCTGAATATGCCAACAAAGCCAGGGAGGGCTCTTTCCACTGCCAGTTGTTTTCACCGATTTGATGTGGCTGCAGGTCCGACACCAAGAAGCATATGGCACCATCCAGGATGTAACATGTCCTCCTCCCCTCCCTTCTTCTGCCCCAGACAATGATGGTGAAAGGAATGGCGAAAGGGTTTATGACTTCTTTACTGCGTCAATCCTCATGACCCCACATATCACCGCTTAACTAAAACACTTCAATGGATTAATCATGCCAGGGTCATTGGCCAAACTCTTCTCAGCACCCGTCCTAAAAATCGGTCAGTTGACAAAACGATCCCACGCAAAAGTGGGTTACCTCATCTCTCTCCCGTCGCACATTCCTTTTACCGTTGGGAGGCCTCTATCCTCTGGGAGGGCTTGACAGTGACCATTCACCTGAGGTTTTGACAGTGCCCTTCTTCTCTTGGGCATTGAGAACACCTGCCCGAATAAATCCTGATATCTTTCCCTCTTCCCATAAACCTCGCAACACAGAATTCGGGTAACGTCCGCGTCTTGTGAGGCAATGCCAAGATGCGGGGCAGCTCAATTATCGACGTCATTGGGAAAGGCAGCTTCGGAGTTGAGAAGGGATCCATCGTCCTTGAGTGCGCATCTGGAATGACTAAGAGAAGGAGGAAAGGAGCACTGCGAGAAAGAGGATTGGAAGTACAGTCCTCGGAATGGATAATACAATGCTCGGCAAGCAAAGTGAGCTTGTGAGGAGTTGGACCAGCTAAATGGGGGATGAATCTCTGAACACAAAGTTATATGCCTTTGCGGGGTGAGAGAGGAGGACTACATGGATAACACAGCTTTGTTTAAAGATGAGGGTAAAGTTGAATTTGCAAGGGGCCCATTGCATTTGAAGTATACCGATGAGGAAACGCAAGACTGGATTGCAAGGACTAAACGTGTACTGCCCTGGCCATCAGGTTATTGTAAGGTTGCTTGAATGATACCTTTCCGGTACATTTTCTTGCCACATTTGGACATTTGTGACAGGTGTCTACATTCGTTCCACCATTCTGAATATACTAGTTGATAGGGCGCTACGTTTAGGTCCTGGAATATGACATTATTTGACGTGTCGTGGTGTGTCAATAGCTTTTGTGGAAAAACATTCCTCAGGGGCAGTTATGTAAGTAGTGTTCGAAAGTCCGGTTAGGTCCGGTTATTGGGTGCCCAGGGGCTCTAACCGAGACCGAGACTGGTTAGCCTTTGTCCCGAAACCTAAAATAACCTAACCAGACCGCAACTAACCGGTTACGGTCGGTTATTTGCAGTTACTAACTGGTTAGGACCGAAAAATAAAGAATCGGTTATAACAAGGCAAATATGCTCATATGTATCTTGATAGATATTATTTCTGCATATTCTAGCTTTAAAACGAGCCCAAGAACGCTAAAATCGGTGAAGAATTGACATATTTATGCAATTATCCTTGAAAGTCTACACATTTGAGAGATATTTTAGAGATTTGACCGTAACTTAGTCAAATTTTAAGCGTTTTCGACGTTCTCAAGTGCGTTTTGAAGGTGTATAATAGGGCTGGTTATAACTGGTTATTTAACGGTTAGTTAACCGCAAAATAACCGGTTATTCCATTTTCGAAATCAACTAACCCTAACCGCGGTTAGGTTAGTGTTGCGGTTAGGTCCGGTTATTTTCCGGTTATTTTCCGGTTAACTAACCTAACTTTCAAACACTATATGTAAGTGCCACTTGAGGGCATACATCCTAACTCTGGTCGCGCCACCAATGCAAGGTTTGTATTTTAGTTAGAGAACGCAGCCCCAAAGAATGTGCAATGGGGTGAAATATATGATGGTGTGCGTAAAGTTGTTGAAAGCGGGGCCATAATGCCCTCCAGTCCTCCACCAATGACCGTCCGAGCAGTCTGGAGCAGGATATGCTTTTTGGAGCGGGGATTCTTTTTCTATACTCAGGGTAAAACACGAGTACGAACCAACACGAGGCTGCAAGCTGCAACGGTCGATAGTTGAGCTGGGGAACGATGCGAGATCGGGATCGTGGCAAGGGCTGTCAAGCTATAAATTCAAGATACCGAAAAAAACACTGGGCCGAAAACTCGCCTCACAACACTTCAGAGACAATACCCCCTATAGGTTTATCGAGCATCGCACTGCTTTCATTCCCATCGATTGTCACGCCCATGTTTGAGGTCTAGATTCCATCAGTGGGTCCTGTTGTGACTGAAGAAAGCCCAGTATTAGTAGGGTATGGTTTGCAGTGGTTAGCCGAGAGTGAGGTGCAGGCAGCCCACTAGCCTATAACGGATCGATCGGGATCGTGGCAAGGGCTGTCAAGCTATAAATTCGAGATACCGTAAGCAACGCTGGGCCGAAAACTCCCTCTCACAATGCTTTAAAGACATGGCAGACCTTCGATACCCCTCGTATTGGTTTATCAAGCATCGCACCGCTTTCATTCCCATCAAATGTCACACCCATGTCTGAGGTCTATATTCCATTGGTACGTCCTGTTGTGACTGAAGAGACTCTCGACCACATCTTACTTTCCTCCTCTTCTCTCTCACACCAATAAGCATACCTATGTTCATGGCCGTCGTATCAGAGACGCAGCTATGGACAGGGAATCGATATGTCATCAAGATAATCAAAAATTAAAAATACACTCACGTTCCCTCGTGCCCGGTGTGTCGGGAAACAGAGCCAATGCCCTATACCAAACGACGATGAACAGGAAGTTGCTTCTTGCAGGGTCAATCTCAGTCGAGATATTAATGGAGAGTCTTGTCGAATCTCTGGCCGTAAACTCACTTGGGACATTGTACAGGTGTCTCTGCCCATGACTGATCCTCAAGCTCCCAGTGAAAACGCCGGAAAACCAACTGAACCACACTGAGTTGACATCTGAGCGTCTAATGGCAGCATAAGACAAGGATGATTGATAAAAACCGGGAGACCTACCTCGCGCCGTTTCCATTTCATCTTCCCTCGAGACAGAATCCCATTTACTGAGAAAATGCTTATGTCTGAGCATTTAACTTGGGCCTAAGACAAACAAATTTGGTGGAAAACTGGGAGAGTAACCTCACCATCCCCCGCAAGACAAGATTCTATCTAGCGAGGGTATGGCTGAGGCATAGCTGGATGGCCCCTCGTGTTTAGACTTCAAGTCTCCAGACCTCTGGGCGTCGAATTGGGACCTCAGATAATGGAACTTGATGAAATGCTGAAATGACTTACTCTGTCTGAAGAACACTCTTCTGAATCGTCACGTCATGTGTTCCGTCTTATTTCCTGCCATCCTCCGTCCCCATCTCTGCCATCCAAATTCCTGTGCCCTTGTTGTTCCAGTTGTTCACGAGATAAAAGCCACGTGGGGGGTCGCTGTCGAAGTTGACATGAAAAAAGCGAAAGTCAGGTATAGAGGTCTTTATTGTCCCCCACTGATTCCTGCAGGATTCCTGAGGATTCCTGAGGATTCCTGAGGATTACCAGGACTCTATATTGGCTGATGTGCCAGCCAATTTTTTGAGTCCTGTGGGGGTCCATTCCTGAGGACTGAAGACAGTCCTCAGGATTTTTGGACAGGACTAGTCCCAGGAATGATGCATTTGATGAGTCACATGACCCATGAGCATGTGCTTGGATACATCATGTGATGTGATGCATCACGTGCACATGTTTGTTGATGATAGTTCTCATATGTGACACGTCACGTCACCTCTCTCTTTCCTCTCCACCCACAACCTCGCCCACCACGACCACCACGACCGCCACGCAACAGACAACGACGACAACGACAACGACATTGACGGACGACGACAACCACAACTACGACAACCACAACGACAACGATGGTGGTGCCCAACAAACGGCGCCACCACCAAACGGCTGACGTGGCACACCCCATCCGGGTGTGCCAGTGATGTGCCGGTCATTGACTAGTCAATGCTAGTCATGACAAGTCAAAAGAAGTCAAAAGTCAAGTCAAATTGACCGTGACTCGGTCACCATTTACTAAATAAGGCAGGATAGTTAGATAAGCAACAAACTTTTGTGCAGCGTGGTCACTGCGACGCGCACAAAAGACTGGAATTTGTGTTCGAAATAA